TGGGGTATTAGTTACAACTGGCAAACCTACATTGACACATCAAAATGTCCTGGGGCATGGAATTTGCATTAAGGTTCACACTTAGGGCTGTCCCTTCTGTGGATATTGACAAATAAATAATGACAGGTTACCACCGTTATAGTATCACATGGAGTAGTTTCACTGCCCTAAAAATCATCTGTGCTCTGTTCATGCCCTTCTTCCTCCTTAAGCCTTACAACCACTGGGCTTTTTACTGTCTCCCTGGTCTTTCTTTTTGAGAATGTTACATAGTTGGGATGATAAACTATAATATAGACTGTTTGGATTGGCTCTGCTCACTTAGTAATAAGTATTTCTGGTTCCTCCACATCTTTTCATGTCTTTGATAGCACATTTCTTTTTACTACTGAATAATAATGTCATTGTATGGATGGAACACCATTTGTTTATGCATTCACTGCTCAGGGAAGCTTGGTTGTCTTGGTGTGGACACCAATTTTCAACTTCCTTGAGTAAATACCAAAGACCTTGGTTGCTGGATCATATGAGTATGTTCAGATTTTTTAAGTAACTGCCAAACTGTCTTCGTGGCTGTACCATTTTGCATTTCCACCGGCAAGAATGAGAATTCCTCTTACTCTACATCCTCGCCAGCATTTAATGCCATTAGTATTCTGGATTTTGGCCATTCTAATAAGTGTGCATTGGTATTTCGTTATTTTAATTTAATTAATTCTCACTAATTCAATTTAATTTAACTTAATTTATTTCCCTGCTGACATATAATATTCATCATCTTCAAATGCTTATTTGTGACTTGTATATCTTTGGTAAGATGTATGTTAAGGTTTTATTTTTAAACTAGGTTGCTTTCTTATTGTTGAGTTTGAAGTACTTTTTGTATATTTTGAGTAACAGTCCTTTAGCATGTGTCTTTAGTAAATATTTTCTCCCAGTTCTTGGCTAGTATTTTCATTCTCTTGGCAATACCTATCATAGAATAGGAATTTTTACTTTTAATGAAGTACAGTTTATCAGTTCTGTCTTTCATGTTGAATAAAAAGTCATCACCCAAGATCATGTAGATCTTTTTCTGTTATCTTTTAGGAGTTTTAAGCTTTGCATTTTAATTTAGGTCCGTGATTTATTTTCAGTTAATTTTTGGGGATGTGTGTAAGGTTTTGTTAATTTTTTCTAAATGTGGATGTACAATTGTTACAGGGCCATTTTTGAAAAGACCATCCTTTCTCTATTGTACTGCATTTGGTTCTTTATTAAAGATTTGTGGACTGCATTTCTGTAAATCAATTATCTGGCTGTTCATTCTGGTCTATTGATCATTTCTTCTATTCTCTTTCAAGTACCACACTGTTTGGTTACTGTAGTTTCATATTACGTCTTAAAGTCAAGTCAAGTAAGGCCCTCCAGCTTTGTTATTCTTCTTCAATGTTATGTTGACTATTCTGAGTCTTTATCGCTCCATGTGAACTTTAGAATCAGTCTGCCTATATCCAAACAAAAACTTGTTGGGAGTTTGATCGGGATTGCGTTGCATCTCTAGATCAGGCTGGGACGATTTGACACCTTGACAATATTGAGTCTTACTATTCATTATCCTCGAATATCTCTTCATTCATTGACTTACATCGTTTTTTCTTTTTCCTTTTAGATCTTGAACAAATTTTGTTTGATTTATACTTAAGCCTCTCATTTTGCAGGAGTGCTAATATATATTAGATATTTTGTTTTAAGTTTTGAATGTCATTTGTTGATTGGTGGTATATAGAAAAGCAATTGACTTTTGTATATTAAATTTTATCATGCAAACTTGCAATAGTCATTTATTTCAATTATTTTGTCTGTTGACTCTTTTGGATTTTCAACATAGGTGCATTAGCTAGAATGCAATCAATAAGATGTTAACAAGGAGTGGAGATGGGACATCATCTTTGCCTCATCCTTGATCTTACTGGGAGAACTTCAAGTTTCTGCACTCTAAGTATGTTAGCTGTAGATGTTTTTAGATAGTCTTTATCAAGTTAAGGAAGCTCCCCTCTATACTGATAGTTTTTATCATAAATGGATACTGGCTTTTGTTAATTTTTCCCCTGCCTCTACTGGTATGATTATGAAACTTTTCTTCTTTAGTCTATTGATTCATGGATTACATTGGTTGATTTTCAAATGTTAGACCAGCCTTAAATACCATGGATAAACCCACTCAGTTTTATACAGTGTTGGATTTTGATTTGCTAATATTTTGTTGAGGAATTTTGTATGAGAGATAATTGCCTACAGTTTCCAATTTCTTGTAATATCTTTGTCTGGTTTGGTATTAGGCCAATACTGGCCTCATAGAATGAAAATGGAAGTATTCCTTCTGCTTCTGTTTTGTGGAAAAGATTATAGAGGATTGGTACAATTCCTTCCTCAATTAAAAAATATTTTTCCTCTTTAAAAAATCATTTTTTAGGGCCTCCCCGGTGGCGCAGCGGTTGAGCGCTGGGTTGCGAAGCTGCCCGCAGCCTCTGCAGCGCCGGTTCAATCCCCGGCTGCTCCCCGGCCACCAGAGGAGGGTCCCACATGGCGCGCAGACCTCTCCTGCCGCCCGCTGCTCCCCTCAGCAGTGTACTTCGGTCCTTCTGCCTGCTCTGCTCCCCGCTCTGGCTCTGGTGAATTCTCTCACCCTCCCGTGCTTCTGACTGTACCCAGTGCTTGTATAAATAAATAAATAAATCTTAAAAAAAAAAAAAAAAAAAGAAAAAAAATCATTTTTAAAATTTATTTCTCCATATTTATATCATTTTAAAATTTTACATTATGGAAATATATACATAACACAAAATATTCTGCCTTAACCATTTTTAGGTGTGCAGTTCAGCAGTGTTTAAATATAGCCACATTGTCATGTAACCAATCCTCAGTACTCTTTTCTTCCTAAAATTCTATATCTGTGGAACACCTCCCTATTTCTCTCCCCTTCAAAGACCAAGTTACTGTGCTAGCTTCTCTCTCCTTAGAAATTCCAAGCCCCCACTGGCGCTACTGGTCAAGGATCAGAAGCTGTGGCATCATGTTCTTCCCGCTATGTCTTTTTCTTTCTATTCTGTCTTTTCTTTACTCTTTCTTTCTGTAGCAACTCAGTGCATGGGAGGCAGGCAAGGACTGCTTGTGAAACAGAATAGAAGTCTTCGTTTTATCTTTTTCCCTTTTTTAAGGCTAACATTCTCTTCATTTTCAGACACTCCCTGAAGCCTATTCCTAAGAAGCCACCAGGGAAATGTATTCATCTAGCTATGGGTTCTCCAGGACCAAGATATTTCTGTTCCCTATACTCAGCACTTCAGATGTTTGATGTAAAGACTCTCTAAAATAGCAGTCCTAATGCAGCAGGAATCTTTAAAGTGGGGTGCAGGGACCTTGGGAGATCCACCAAGCACCTTCAAATGCTACATGAACATTGTATGTTTTGGGTGAGCAAGCACATAGCTCTAAATTTTCTAGGGGGCAGTAACCCACTTAAGAGACTCTGTAAGACTCGATCTGAAGGAAGGCTCAGTCATGATTATTCACAACATTTCCACTTAAGCCACTTCATCCTACTCAGCAGAGAGAAAGGGAAGCAAGGCACAGATTTAGAAGAGGATCAAATGTAATTTTCATCAAGTTTTTATTCTTCTTCCCTCCCACTGTCTGAAAAGCCCAGTTTCCACCCTCAGTCTGCCCTGGGGCCTCTCACCCAGACTTACTTGCATACTGGTTATGTTTGGCCCATAGGAGGCAGGAAGACGAGAGCAGAGTAAGGCCTACTGTTACCTTCCATTGCCTACTCTCTGCATTGTTCAGGTTCTAGAAGAGACTAAGGCATCTCTCTTCCAATATAGCTCTTCTGGCTGGTCTTTTCTCCATGGCTGCAGATCTCCTGCTTATTAGTCTTTTCTGTACTTCTTCAGCTCTAAGGAAATTATGGTTTCCTTGTCTCTAACCTCTGGGTACCTTGACATGTGTCTCTAACTGCTCACACCTCTGAAACTAGCCCTTTTCATTAAACTCTCTTCTCTAGGACCCTGAGTGATTCCCTCCTAACTCATAAACTGTGACATTTTATTATAAGATGGGTAACACAATATGAAATTGATGGTCCCTCATCAGTAAATTAACTCTCAGGAACACAAACTCCCCAGAAAATGACTGAGATCTTTCCCTCCTACAACTGTCATATTGCCTCGAGTCAGAGGTCTCATCACTTCAGGTGAAAGGCACACATACCCTAGTACAGATAAAGCAGTTCAGTTTCTGAGTGTTTATAAAATTCAGTAATGGAGACATGGTGCTGGAAGCTGGAACTTTCTGTGGCAAGAGCTGCACTTTTTAAGAGTGTGCCTCTTGAGCCCAGAATGACTCTGGATCTGGCAGACTTGGGGGATAGAGTTTCTTCCATAAACCACAGCGCACAATGATGTAAGAGAACTTTTTCAAACTCAAAGCAGATACAGCGTGGGGAGGCGGCGGACAGAGCCTAGAGAGCATATTTAGCAGTAAAGTCAGTACCTCAAAAAGAACCACTGACAAGTCTCTTCATCAAATCAAAGCCTTGAGGAGAACTGAGAAAACTGAGGATTTTAGGGAGTCACAGCGCAAAAGCAGCCTGTTCCTCACGTTTCAGGAAGAGTCCACAACAGCCAGGAGCCTTCTAATGGATCCCCCCTTCTCTGCACCTAGGAGAAAGAGCCTCATGAAGTAGAAACCATGACATGGCACAGTTTATTTAGGAGGAGAACATCTCATGTCAATCCCCTCCTCTCAGTGTCCCGTGACCTCACAGCAGTGCTGGAGGAACCAGACTTCCCTGCACCTCCCTCTAGGGAGGGTTGGTGGGGAGACAGGCAGGGGCAGCTGGGAGACCCATGAAGCTGCCTACTGGAATGAGGCAATACAGATGGACTTGTTACCAAACAGAGGGGTTGCTACACAGCAGGGGCAGGAGCCACATCAGTGTCAGCGTGGAGTTCCCGGATAGGATGAGACCAAAGGTGGAGGCTGGAGGCACCCCTCCCACTAACACCTGATCCCAGGTCGCTGGCAGTGAGAAGGGGAAGGTTGAGGTAATGGAGGAAAATCCTAGCTAGATTGGGAGTTTATCCAAAAGAGATTATACACCATCTAGAAGCAACCAAGTTTATCTTGAAGTGGAAAGTTTCCATTTTTTACCACCCTCACGTTATGGTTTGATAACGTTGTTAAGTCCAATTATAGAGGAATGAAGAGAGTAATTTTTTTCTGCCTAAGATTTTGACTGTGACATTTATAGCCTCTGCAAAGGGTCATCAATCTTCGTGATGATGCTCCTCCTTACTTTTCCTCTGGGCGAAAGAGCCTCTAAGTAGGTGAATCAAGGAGGGGCCGCTCAGGAGAGAAACACTCAGGACACAAGCTTGTGTGTCAGCGTGTGAGTGTCTGGTGTTCCCCTCCCTTCCACTGTGGGCTCTTCAGGTTCACACAGAACAGTATTTCACTTATGGCTAAATTTTATGTCATTATTGTTTCATTCACCTTCGCCAGATGCTAATCAACAAAAGCTAAATCCTCTTTGAATTTGAAAGTGTTCACAAAATAACGCTGCTTTTCTAATTAGCATTTCTTGTTTTATTAATTTTAAAATTTTTTTCTTACATCATTGCTCATTTTTGTGCAGGATTTTATTTCTCCCCTCAGGTGTAGCCCCCACAGGTCTCCCCCCTCCATAGCACCTGTGACTATCACCATAGTCCTTTGTACTATTGCCTCCCCTGTTTTGACCCCTTTTGCTCTCCCTCCCCTGCTATATGCCTCAGATCTATGGTTTGCCTGTAAGTTTTTTTTCCCCCTGATCATTTGTTCAGTTTCCCTATAGTCCCCCTGTAAATGAGACCATCCGATATTTTTCTTTTTCTTTCTGACTTACAATATTTCACTGAGCATAATCCCTCCCCCACTCTATCCATGTTGCTGCAAATGGGATGAGTTTATCTTTTTTGATTGCTGAGTAGTATTCCACCATGGATGCATACCACATCTTCTAATTAACATTTCTAGTAACTTTAAATGAAATAACTTGTTTTGAAAGTGGGATAAGAGAAGACTCTTCCTCTGTGTTGTCAGATTATATGGGAAACATTTCTCGTGCTTCTCAGCTCACTGTGCGAGGCAGGCGTGACCTGGCTAGATATCGCTGAGGGGAGGAAAGGACTAAGTTTGTTGAAGATTAGGTGGGACTTGAGACAGTATAGTGTGAGCAAATTCTGAGAAAAAGCATATTGTATAGGAAATAGTCTAAAGAAAGGAAGATTCTGAAGGCTCATAAAGACAATTTTTAAGTTACTAAAGGCAAGTGGATAATGACGGATTGGGCTTTGATATGTGCACATCATAAAAGTAAACCCCAAATTTAGAAATGAATCAGAGTTTCTGGTGAACTGCATTCCTTAGGAGACAGGGAGTGAGTGGAACTCAGTGCTAAGATGTTGCTGAGGAGCCCCCAGCCTTGCTAGGCCCCTAGTTCCTTTATCACAGCCACTTCGATTTGATGAAATTTCCATGCTGTGTGAATTCAAACAGGACCAGGACTTCTTTACTCCTTTTACGTTTTCTCTTGGCCTGTTAACAAAGCTTTAATGACTTACTAATGCTCGAGGCACTCTTGAAAAACCACCATCAGATTAGCGCTTGGTTTTTAAAAAATTAATCTCTTTCTTTAGTTGTTGCCTTTTTCCCCAAGGAAGATGCATGGCTATATTTTTCTCCCCACCTCTGTTTTGGGAACTGGGTGAGATAAGATTTGCCTGTGTCGAGCCCTAATAGAAGCATGAAGTCAGGGGAGGATTGTGTACTTTGCACTCAGAATCGCACTCCCTCCTTGGCACCCAGCTGCTGTCTCCCTCCCAGCCCCATATCTCTGTCTAGTTCCTGGCAAGGAACAGGGAAAGCTAGAGGGAGCTGTGGCTTCCACGGTTTCCCCTCCTGCCTGTTTGGATGTCGAGAAAGGCCTCAATTTTAACAACCAGGAGAAGAAAATTTAGAGGGAGTCTGTGATTTTAATTTGCTACAACAAATTATTCTTAAATCCAGCCATCAACACAGGCACATTTCAGTGTTTCCTAATGGGGGAAAAAAACAAAAAGTGGAGTTCTTATCTGGGCTTGTGCAGTGGTATTTGCCACGTGGTTTCTAGTTTTTGTAATTTTTGCAAAGATAGAAGCTCGAGCCTGGAACATCTTCGCCATCTTTCCCAAACATCTAAATCCTGCTCACCTTTGTTCACGACTGAGGAACTTTCCACAATCAACCCCCCCAATCAGAAAGGATCTTATCTTTCTCACAATTTCCACATTTTGCTTTTATGCCTGTCTAGCAAAATGTGTTATTGTTTCCATCACCATTGTCGCCATGAGATTAAACATTTCACATACGGAGGAGTAAAAATGTAACCCCAAAGTTCTGTCAACATGTCAATGACTGGCAAATTTAAATGAAATAAAAAGCAAACAAACAAACAAAAAATCTTCAAAAGCCAAAAAGGAATTGCACACTTCGTAGCCTTTTTGTCTGTCTCTCCCTCCCATGGCACTCTGTGATGGCTGTTCCTTGGCAGGTCATGGGTTATTTGGGAAGGGAATAGACTACAGAACCTACCCTCAGCCCCTCAGTCACCACATTCTGCCTTTTGTTGGGGTAAGGCAAGGAGGAACAGCCCCCAGAGCAGGAGGAAACCCCAACACAGTAAATGACTGAGATACTTGTCATGCCAGAAAAATCTTCACTTCAGTGATTCTGAGCACTGTGAGCTTCAATGTTAGAAAATCTTTGTTCTTAGATTTTTTCCTCCACTAAAAGAGTCAATACCTCCTGCAACATCAAAACCAAAGCTGTGAAAAGGTTCAATCTCTGCATCTGTACTACGAGCTCCTTGAGAACCAAAGCTGTCTGGTTTGTATTTTCCCCTGGACATACTTGGCCTCATCCCAGGTAATTGTGGGTCTTCTGTAAATATTTAAGGAATTTCTGGAAAAAAAAAGAGGAAGGTAAGAATTCATTGTAATGCATATTTTACTTCATAAGATGCCAAGATATCAATGACTAACTATTTACTTCCTAACTATTAGCATAGGTTCAATCTCGAGGCTAAAAGACATGAAACTGAGAAAATGGGCCAATGTTTGGTTCCTTTTAGCTAGTAGGTTAGAATTATGACAGAGCAGTAATAACAACAACAAAAATAAACTAACAAAATTGTGGTCGATTCTGTGGCCTTGTGTAGACATAGTTAAGTAGAATTGCTCTAGTGAATAATGGATGTGGGGTGATGGCCATCTACTGTTTAATCGTTTCCAAGCTAATGTTTAAAGGGAAATGAAAGGTTTATACCAGAATCCAAATCACATAGTTCTCAGCCAATAGTATACATGAGTGTTGATCTTGGATTAGAGATGGTAATATATTAACAAGGAGGCTGAAAGATTATATTATCTCTGTGGGTTTCTAAAGTAGATTTACACAGCATATCTTGTTTTGTGTGTGGAATAATAAGAGTAATATTATGTATGGGTAGTGGGGAAAGCATTGTATTTAGAGTTTAGCGGTCTGGATCATTTTCTTAGCTCTATAACCAACTCACTCCCTCCTCTGGAAACCTCCAGTTTTGTCAGTCTATTGCATGGCTTGCAACTACAGTATGGTTAATTGTATAAATATTTGTATTCCATTACCTCTTCTAGGTCAGAGGCTGTCTTGTTTATCTTTGAATTCCCAGTGCTCAGTAGAGTATCTGGCAATGAGGATGCTTGATATGTATTTGGGAATGCACTGAAATGAAAGGGTTGAATAAAATCATTAATTTTTACTTCTAAGGTTTTGAGATTCTCAAGATCAGAGAAATTCAGCACACATACAGTTTAAATTATGGGTTCAAAGATTTTTCAGTGGGAAAGCACTGAGGCTATTTAGCCAATTCTTTCCTACTCTCCCCCACCCCCACCCCCATGAAGAGTGTAAGAGCTCACTCCCTAAGCTTCACAAATACAATAGAACACACCAGCCAGGAACCCTTCCAGGTCTCTGGTATGAAAAGTACAGCCTAAACTCATCAGTACACATCTCATCTTTTTTTCACTCAGGACCACAGTATCCGATACCTCTGCCACACCTCTCTAAAGGACTACCCTACTTTGTCCCATATGTTACTATTTTCCTGTTCTTTTTGGGCTATCCTGATGTTTTTGTTTTTGTTCTAAACATTCTTCATCTCTCTACCACTTTAAAAAACAGACAACTGCTTAGCTTCCCATATCTCTATCCATCTCAGCCAAATTTCTTAAAAGTATTGCTTATGCTCACTGTCTCTATTTCCCCTCCTTCCACTTCTCTAACTCTTACATCTGCTGTTTGCTGCCACCATATTATTATAGTAGCATTTGCTAAACCTAATAATGATTTGTTGAAACTCATAGAATTCTGCTTTTCTCTTTTCCCATGTCCTCTTCAGATCCTTCCTCCTCAACAGTGTCTTGAAAGCTGGGGATTCCTTAAAGCTCAATACTAAGTCCAATTCTCTTTTATTTTCCTACATTCACTGTACTATTTCATGCCCAGTCTTTCATATGTGTCTTAAATATGACCCTTAAATTTATATCTCCAGCCCAGATCCTTCACCCTTCACACCCTTTTGGTTGTCTCAAAGTCATCAAGTTGAACATGTCCCAAAAGCATTTCTTCCTGCCACCAAAAATGTTGGTCCTCTTTCAATATTTTCTTTTTTTCTAAAGGGTCCTGACCTTACATCCAACTCACTCTCATGTGAAATCCTTCACCAAATCCTATTGATTTTTATCTCCCTAATATCTTTAATCTGTTATATCTCTTCATCTTCACTGTCAAGGTTCTAGTCCAAGCTATCATTATCTATTTCCTGGACTACATACTGCCTTTTAAATCATTATGCACATTTTCTGTTGCCTTCCTCCAATTCAATCTCCTAGGTGCAGCCAGATGAATTTTATCAAAACCACTGTCTGCTTAAATTATTCATCCTGCTTGTAAACATGTCAGAAACTTCCTATTGCCCTTAAAA